TGAGAGTCCCGGCTCCCACCTGATCCTTGTCGCTGACCTCGGGCCCAAGTGCAGTCGCTGCTTGTATCTTCTCTCGTTGCTGTAAGTTAGAGTCGCTGTGGGGCCAGCCTAAGGTCTGTCTCGTCACTGGTAGTGCTTTACAGCAAGTGCTTCGTGAAACGGTTTAGCAAACTTACGGTCCCCATGCACACTCTTTAGGCTGGGTAGTAATTCTGTGTTTCTGAGCTAATTGGAAATGCGTGATAATAACTGAGCTATGGTATCTGGAGAGCTTGCTTCAGAACAAACTTTGCAGATGTGGGAATGAAAGAAGCCTTCGGATGAGTTTTAAATAGTTTATTTCAGTTTTTGCCGCACTTTGCAGCGGTGCTGTCCTTGCGCTTTGTGTTGTGCAGAGCCTAGATGTGGGATGACTGGAGGCACAGAATAAATACGTTATTGGAGTGGTACCTATGAAAGTGTTGCTCTGATACATATGCTTAAGATTAATTCAGAGAAAAGCACATTACTTTCCATTCTTTTTTTGATGAAACTATTAAGCTATCTAGAATTATATTATACATCTAAAAAGAAAAACCGAATGCAAGAATCTTTGTGCTGCTTTTGATAAAGTGCCCCCTGAATCTCAGAGGAGAGTAATGCTGTGTGATTGCAAAGTAGGTTACTAAAGGCCTGTTGCAGTTAAGCAATTGAAGCCATTCACAATCTAAAATGAGGAAAAGAATCTTTTTAATGGATGGATGCAGCCAAACATGCCTGCTTTACTCGAGTGGGTGAATTCTTCATTAGCTCTTGGAAATGGTTTCCTAAGGGAGTTACAAACTTTTTGTGCTGTACAGAAGCACTGCATGCTCTGAAACCTGAAGCCATTCGATTTTATGCTCACACGGAAGAGAAGACACTTATGGTTTTCCTCATTCACCTGTTTCTTGTACTGGGAATTATTTATTTTAATTTGTGCATACTTTTAAAATATTTTGCTAATGTTCTGTGTATTTTAATTGCTGGCATAGGAAACTATTGTTCCGGTTTGTTAGTATTTTGTAGCGGAGAAGCTAGAATTGTTACTTTGTCATCTTTATGCACTGTTTACTTAGTGTATAAATGACTACACTAATTAATTATTGCTTACTTTGCTTTAAAATACATACTGAGTTACATGATTTTCTATTTTACTTCTGAATCTATTAAAAAAGCAGTTTCTGAAATACAGCCTAGAGAATAAAATAGCTCCCACTTGCAAAATCACTTGTCCAGTGAGTGACTGACTCTGTGCTGTCCTTTTCCCTGGGGATCGAGAATGGACAGTTCAATCCCCCTCATTCTGGATGGTCAGCCTGACACCTGCTGCTCCATTCTCATGATGCTGCATCGATTACTGGAATGACATGGATCATTAAAACTAAATGCAGGAGTACCTGGGGATGGAATGGAAGCTGTCTCTATCTTGTGCCATTGACCTGATGGGTGCTTATCAGTCAAAAAGAAGAGCTATGGTTTGCTTGTACCTTTCAGCAGTGAACATCAGGGTCTTGAAAACTTTTGCAAACCACACGTATAAAGCCATTTCAGTAGAAAGTCATGATATGCTCTGAAGATTTTTCCCACTGAAAACTTTTTTTAAATGGTTGAAAACTTTTTAAAAATGGTATAAAAAACCCACCTTGTTTAAAATGGTATAAAGTTGGAGAATGGACTTGTCCTTCAACTTGCATCTCCGTCACTGCTCCTTATCCAAGACACATTAGCTTTCATCAAGGTTGTTGGCAGGTGCTGTGCAAGAATCCCAGCAGCACTGTGCAGCAGTGAGTTCTACGCTGAACCAGTCCGGTTCTTTTAGCAGCTGTCATGAATCTTCAGATTTGTGGATTTTTGTTTGGGTTTAGGTTTGTTTGTTTGTGGGGTTTTTTGTTGTTTTTTAATTCTGATTAGACTATGCTGATGCTAGGTGTAAAGAGGCTTAAGCAAGCAAGTTAGCATCAGGTTGTAGGAAAGATTTGAGCATATCAGAATTATGTTAGGCTTACTTTTGTGTTTTCCTTTTTAGTCCTTCTGGAAAGCTTGTTCAGATTGAGTATGCTTTGGCTGCAGTGGCTGCAGGAGCTCCATCGGTTGGGATTAAAGGTATGTTCAGAAAATACCTACTTTAGTGAACGATTCAGGATTCTGAGTATCGTTTGAGAGAACTAAAATAGTTTGGACTATGTACTGGATCTTCATCTTGCTTTCTATTACATATTTTGTTTTTCTTTCAGTGGATTTTCACATGTTTTAGTGGGTTTAATATTTCCTTTTTTTTTTTTTCCTGCAACTCAATTTTTTATAAAGAAGGAAGGGAGTATAGAGCTCCATGCTAGGAGAAGAAAATTGCTTGGGTGATTTTGGAGACACTCAGCTGGTAGAAGTAGACCTTTTTTTTTTTCTTCTTTTTTTTGCGTATTCCTGTCTCTTAAGTAAGTAACTCCAGCTATGTGTCCGTATATATAGAAATTACACCAAAAGTTACTTCAACTGCTCAATTATTCATATGTGCTTTGGAATCTTTAGAATGGGATTATGGGAGCTGTATGGTTATTTAAAATGAGAAACAATGTGTTGGGTGGATTCATCAAAGTATCTCTGTTTAACATGACTGCAAACTTGAAGGTTTTTTTTAAAAGGGAGGAGCAAAATTCTTTAGTCTGATAAACTTGTTCTGTGTTTTGACTGCTTTCCATAATTTTAGTTTAATATAAAAAAAAAATCTTGTTCCTTTCCAGCTGCAAATGGAGTGGTGTTGGCAACTGAGAAGAAGCAGAAATCCATTCTTTATGATGAAAGGAGTGTCCACAAAGTAGAACCAATTACCAAACATATAGGTTTAGTGTACAGCGGTATGGGTCCAGATTACAGGTATTAAAAATTTTTGTTTAGTCGTCATTTAGACACATTTTCATACAAGAAATGTAAGAAACTGAAACGGATGGCAGTTAGCTGTTTCTTTCTTTCTAAGTATATGGCATAATATATTGTATTACGCTGTATATGAAATCCACTTTAAGTTTTTCTTAATGTATTTAGTATCTTGTCAAATAACCTTCTATCTAAAGAATGAGTAGGGAATGAACAGCAGTGTAATTCAACCTGAGTTTCAGTTTAAATATTTCAGAGATTACTCAGTTGATAAAGATAACCCAGCACAGTCTATGTTTTCTTACATTGGTGTTATGCCAGATGTAGAACTTCTTAGCATAGTATTTATTATGAATTTTCAGTTCTAGTTGGATTTTCTTTGACATGCTAATTTTGTCTTTGTTTTTAGAGTACTTGTGCACAGAGCTCGGAAGCTGGCCCAGCAATATTACTTGGTTTATCACGAGCCCATTCCAACAGCACAGCTAGTACAGAGAATTGCTTCTGTGATGCAGGAATACACACAATCTGGGTATGTGATTTTCTGAATTTTGAAGTTGCTTAGAAAGATTATGTTATTTAAATGTAAGGAATAACAACTACCTGGTGATTCAATTTTTTGGCATCAAAACGGCAGTTAGTTTTTCAATGGAGAATGTCCACGGGAAGCGGGGCAGCGGGAGGAGCACAAACTGGTAGCGGGTGAGATAGAGTCTTCATATCTTGCACACACGTCAGACAAGGCAGCGTACTTTGGGCTTGTACTGTTGGTTGACTAGTCATTCCTGGTCACAGCTCCGGGCTGGTGGGGAATGTCTGGGGGAAGGTTAACACATCCAAAAATAACTTAGTCTCCTTTGGTTTTCACTGAACAAATTTCACATATCAGCTGTGATTTCTGTTTGTTTGTTTGTTTTTTGCCTGTAGTGGTGTTCGTCCGTTTGGTGTATCACTACTAATATGTGGCTGGAATGAAGGGCGACCTTATTTATTTCAGTCAGATCCGTCTGTAAGTATCTTACGTTTGTAAATTGTACTGCTTTTATAAAACATCTAAAACTTCTTAAGTGCTCATGAAATACTTTCTGTAATGAGATGAAGAATGCAGAACTAGAACAAAAGATCCCCTAACATAACTTCAGAAGTCAGAATGAGCCATTTCAGTAGGTGCTTGGAGGAAGCCTGACTGAAATAGTTGTTCCATAAACTGGATGGATGTTAGGCCAAAATCTGTTGTATTGTGAAATGTAACGCATATGCTTTAGTATTTAATGACTGTGGTTAATTTAAGTGAGTTTATTTGCTGTGTTTGTGCTGCACTTCTGAAAAACTACCTTTTGATGCATGTGTGAGTTGTAACGCTTTACATCAAACAAAAAAAACGTGGTTGCTGTAGTGATCATTGATAAGCTTCAGAAATTTGAATTACTGCCTGATGCTCAAATGTAAGAAGCAAAATGCTTGTGTAAGGCAGCTTCATTGAGGCATAGAACTGCTGATGGTCTTTATGCTGGAGGAAAGAACAGAAGTGATGGCTAAGTATCCTATTAGTAGCTAAAATAAATCAGATGGCTGATTTGCAACAAGTTGTTTACATTACTTAACCTTAAAAAAGAAGAATCAGGAAAGATCTGACTGTATTAATTCTCATGGGCAAATATACTATTTCTGTACAAGGAATCCCAAATCAAAACTATGCTAATGATTTACTAAATTGATCTTTCAAAGTAGAGGGAGGATGAAAGTAGGTGGGGCCCTACACATATGTTTTGTACATTTTCACAACATATGTTTCCATATCAAATTAGTCTGAATGTGATCCCAAATAGTTTCCTATGTTCTCAGAACGTTCAGTATTTTCGTAATTGTTTCTGTGCTTTTTACCAAGTAATTGAATATGTAATGTTTTGCTAAGTTACACAAAACAATTCAACAGATTGTTGCTTTTACAGGGAGCTTACTTTGCATGGAAAGCAACAGCAATGGGAAAAAATTACGTCAATGGGAAAACATTCCTTGAGAAAAGGTAATGTATTTGATACTTGACTGAAAGGATACTATCCGTTTTCTTCAGGTTCCATGAATAACAGCCAGATAAAAAGTGCACACTTTTAGATTATCAGAACAAAGTTTTAAAGTACCTAAGATACGATACTTCCAGTTTACTTATTTACACGTGCACAGGAAATTAATTTAAACTCCAACTTTTGTGTTTATGGAGAATTATTTCAGTGCAATAAACATTATATTCAACATATTTGCAGAAATCTTGTTCTATGCAGTGTCAGTGGAAAGAGTAGTGACTTTTTTTTTTTTACAAATAACAACTTTGACTATTAATATCACAGTGCTCACAAATAATATTTGTATGAGAAATAGGAAGATTTTAGTAGTGTTTGGGTTTCTAGAGACTCCAGGATTATTAGGATTTGGAAAGATCTTTGTACCGTGCTGAAATACGTGAACTTCTGTTTACAGATACAATGAAGACTTGGAGCTTGAAGATGCCATTCATACAGCTATCTTAACACTAAAGGTTAGCAAAATATTGAGGAAATAAATAGTTTACTATTATGACATCATTGATATGATTCACTGAACTGTATTTTTTTTAATAGGAGAGCTTTGAAGGGCAAATGACGGAAGACAACATTGAAGTTGGCATCTGTAATGAGGCTGGTTTTAGGAGGCTTACTCCAACTGAAGTTAAGGACTACTTGGCTGCAATAGCCTAGTAGAAACCGAGCAAGACTGTGTGACTCACACAAAGGTCTTTTTAATTTTGGCTCCTTAAAAGTTTTTGTTTGCAGTTTCTGCATACTTATTTCTACATGGTTTGTCTGAGAGATTTTTTTAAAATATCATGGGTACAAATGCAACAGTCCTAATCTTGTAATACATGGAATCTTACTACAGGTAACTCTTTC